GTACAATAAAAGTTATGACATGTTAACGTCTGTTTCTGGGGTTGCATGTCGGGCCACTCGTTCATCACACATTGATTTCTCAGACGATAAAAGTGGCACTGAGTTATTTTATTTAATTTCTGTATAAAGGTGTAAAATAAATGAACTGATAATTGATATATCTTCGTGAATTGATATAGGCAACTAACTATCTGTAGAGGAAAAAAAAAATAGATAAATAAATAATAAAAACGAAGTGAATTAAAAAAAAAAAAAAAACAGTAAAGAAAGTCCTAAAGTCGGGCGGGGCCGACTTTATGATATAGTACACCACTTTGCTAATTTAGTAGAGCTCCACATAACAATTAAAGAATTCACGCTATGATTATATGTATAATTTAAAGTTCAGCGGACTAAATATCCCGAATCATTTGAATCTTTTAAATTCGGACTTTTATTGCCCATTTGGTGCACAATTAATTTGAAATCGGATAATGATATATATGGGAGCTCGATGAAATTTCGCAAAGATATTTCTGAGCTGTATTTCATATATTTCCCTGAATAGCGTTGTTACGGAGTGCATATTACGGCTGTGGGTAATAAATATAACAAATCGGATGAACAATATATATGGGAGCTATAGCTATTTCTGAACCAATCTTTACCAAATTTGACATACTAGCTTCTAGACTCAATTCGGCCGTAAGTGCCAAATTCCATCCCATTTGGACAAATATTAGACGTTTGGTCCACAATAAAAGGTAAATCGGACGAAGTTATATATGGGAGCTATATCCAAATCTAAACCGATCTCGATAAAATTTAGCAAAGGTATTTCTGAGCTGCATTTGATATATTTCCCCAAATATTGTTGTTACAGAGTGCATATTACGGCTGCGGAGGACAAAAATAACAAATCGGATGAACAATATATATCTGAGCTATAGCTATATCTGAACCGATTTCGATCAAATTTGGCACACTTGTTTTCAGGCCTAAATGTTCATTTTTCGAGTATCACACGATAATTGCCACCTATATATAATACTCTCAACTCATAGTGTTAGAAAATGTAAAATTTAAAATTGTTAGCCAAATTATAAAAGATAGCATGCGATAAAAAATATGACAAAAATTGAAAAAATTTAACAAAATATATTCACTTTTTTATTGCCATATTTTTAAGCGATTTTCTTAGATTTTATACTTTTCACGCAAGAGACCATTGCGAAAATCGAACCACTGGCTCTCGACTTATAAGCGGAATAACAAAGATCTATTTCGTTTACATGTATATACAGGGTGAGATAAAAAAAACTGCAACAAAGTCAAACGCCATCATTTTTTTTTTAATTTTATTGAATGAAAGCAAAAAAGGTCGGAAATAGCATCAGCTTTTAGACAAATTTTAGATTTGTTCGAAGTGGTTACCTTTGGTACGAATTATGGCCTTCAAACGGCCAATGAAACCGTCACATGATGCCCGAATGTTGCTCTGCGGTATTTTGGCCCATTCACGGCTAAGCGGTATTTCGGCCTATGAGGTGATCGACACTTTGGTAGTTTTTAGTGCCCACCTTGCTTTCCAGACACAATAGTCCAACGGATTGGGATCCGGAGATTTTGGTGGCCATTGCGCACTGGAAATGAAACGAGGAACCTCATTTTGTAACCATTCATGGGTGGTGCGAGCTGAGTGCAATGGTGCTGAGTCCTGATGGAATGTCCAAGGTCTGCGGCCAAAATATTGGCTAAATACACCCTCCAGAATATTTTCGCGATAAATGAGCGGGGGCGACTATCGGCTGTTATGGCGGCCCTCACCATCATCATGGCCGGCGCTTGAGTTCTGGTGGCCAACTAAAGGTGCACATTTTCAGCTGACCCCTTTGAGAAGTAAACCAATAGTGACAAAATTGGTTTATATGACAGCCCTGAATATTTTTTTTTATTTACAAAGTGCTGGACAATGAATGTTTTTTCATCGAAGAAAACTAAATTCGGCAGTTCACCACTTTGGGCCAAGCGAAGCAACTCTTTAACTCTTTTGAGTTTATTTTCTTTCTGTTGCGGTGTAAGTTCTTCCACTTTTTCGAATTTCGATGGTTTTACCCCGAGCTCATTTTTTTATATTTGCCGAATGGATTATTGCGATATGTTCATCCCACGAGCCATTTTTCGGCTACTGCGTTGCGGGTTTCGATCAAGTCGCTTCTTTACTTTTCGAATCATTTCTGCTGATGTTGCTGTTTTCTCCCGTCCACTTCCTTGACATCGGACTACGCTATCCGTGTCACGCTATCTGTATCAACGAGCGATGGTACGAGACACAAAAGATTTATTCACATTTAAATGCTGGAGTGTTCTAACGATAACCACTTGTGGTTTTCCAGCCAAATATAAAGAAATCACACTATCACGCTTGAATTCCATCACGAATTCCTTTTATCTCGAAAATTCTCACCAAAATGCCAAATACCAAATATAATAAGCTGTCACTGGAATAATTTCAACAACTGTCGGACGAGTGGCTTAGAAATGATAGCAGTCTGAAGTTGGTTGCAGTTTTTTCATCTCACCATGTATATAATGTAATTTTTATATGGGAAGAAAATATAGACTTGCAAGGAAATACGCATTTTTTACTTGGTCGCCTTTCACCACGAAAATTCCTCCGAGAGGTTTTCTAACTGGAATATCGAATGCAGTTTGTCTGAAATTAAAATATATTTCATATAAAGTCTGCTTGAATATACGACATTCATAAAAGTACAATTAAAAACCTATGGCAGATAAAATTATCTCTATGAGACCTCTGGTTACATTTTTACTGGAAGTGTTTTGTCTCACTGAGAATATTCTATCTGCAAGTGGTTCTACATGTGCTCTCATATTGAAGGTCTATCAAACCCATATGGGTACAGAGGGTATATATCATTAAATACGGCCAAAACATACCTCATCGTAATAACGATTTTAGACCCTATACCCTTTGAATCCAATTTGTTTTAGGATATTTGAAGTCGATGTAATGTTGTCTGTCTGTTTATCTGTATGTCTGGTGCGTACGATAACTCTCGAAAGGAGAATCCGATATGGTCCAAACTTGGTTAATCGTAATATTATTGTCAAGCTTATATCGAGTCCGGCTAAGGGCCACTCCTTCTGGTACCTCCCCGACAAAGGAGAAAACTTTCACAAAAAATACTTTTCCTTATAAAACAAGAAACAATAATCCAATTTTGTGCAAATATTGCAAATACCAATATTTGTATAAGTGTTACGTCAGGTCCAAAAATGGACAATATCGCCCAACTCCATCAAGTACCTTCCCCAAAAATTTAACAAAATTTTGAAAAAATTATAGCGGTACTAAAATGTGAAATAAGGCTACGATTATCTTCTCAATATAACATGGGTTCTTTTAAAATATAAAAATTTAAAAAAATAAAAGTCCACGTTTGTAGCCATGAGAGTCCTTTGAAAATATGTTCAAAAATCCACACTGAAAACCCTTAACGGATAGATTTAAAAAATTCAAGCTAATAGCCCATAGGGTCCTTCAAAAAATCTTCGTTTATGGCCCTTAAAAGAATATGTTTAAAACTTATAGTTCTTATAGTCGTGAGAGTGCTTAAAAATATGTTGAAAAAATCCACATCTGAGGGCCCTGAGTCCTTCAGAACAATCTTCGTTTGTGACCTTAAAAAATATATTTAAAAACTATAGTCTTTATGGTCCTGAGATTGCTTAAAAATATGTTTGTAAAAATTCACATATAAAAGTCCTGACAGTCTTCTTTGAGTATACGGTGGATGTCTCAACGGCTTTATGTTCTGTATTCAATAAAGTACTTCAGTGCGTATGACGAATGTGAAAAATGGTATATTGCGCATACGTAATGTATCCATTTAAACGTTTCTGCACGCCGCCATACATTTTAAAGAATTAAAGTTGAAAATCCTTCACAAATTTTCTCAAGATTCTAAGGCGATAATTGTACTTTTCTTGAAATATTTTTTTTTATAGATTGTATTCTTGACGGGGTATTCGAATAGCTAAACTTTACTTTATTTTAATGTTTCAAATCTTCAAAATTCCAAGAATCGGATGGCACTGTTTGTTATACAAGAGGTATTAACTGAGGATGTAATCAAAAATATGTAGATATTTTTTTGGCATTAACGTATGAGTGATTTAATACATTTCATATATCACTCATACCTACGTTTTTGTTCAAACGACCGGAGTTCTCTGAATTAGAAAAGGAACTAGTTCGTTCGATCGGACAAGATTGATACATCTCTATAAATTACCATAATTTGGGAGGAACTTGATTATACAAACCGTGAAAATTCGGGAGTCCCTCGGTACATTAATTAAGGGCCTGTTTCCGTATGTGACTGCGAAAGTGAGTGTGAAAGAATAACACAATTCCAAATTTGTTTTTTTTTTAATTAAATTCAAAATTTGAAATAAAAACACATTAAAAATTGTATTTTTCTTTCGCCTTAATCATGAAAGTCATTGACAAAAAATATTTAAAAGGTTTTTTTTTAAAACATAGTTCTCTTATCTATTCCCATCATCTCAATCTATCAAATGATTGAAAACCTATTTTAGCAATTCAATTATTAAAAAGCAAACACCCGGGCATAATTGTTTTCTATAATAAATTGACGGATATGACCTCTAAAATGCAAACAAGTGTTGTCGTTTAAAAACGACGAAGAGAGGGAAAAACGAACTTTGATTACTATGATCTATGACCTTTTGCCGAGAAGTTCTTTGTCTTTCTTCAATTACAGTCATCTAACTTGTGCTCGTAACAAGTTGTTGTGATGCTCTGTTGTACTTAAAAACTTTTACACAGAAACAATTAATCACAAAACCCCTTACCCTGACCCCCTCCCACTACCCCCTCTCCCTTTGTACTACTATAATTCATACTGAGACAAGCAAATTCTTAAACTTCCGTTTCATTTTCTTGTCGTTTCTTTTTTTTAATTTCTTTACAGATACTCAGCTTGTATTGATTAAAAGCAAACAAGAAGCTGAACAGGGAAAACGAGCAAACAAAAACTAAAAACAACAGCAACAGGAGCAGAAGCAACAACAATCACAATCTTGTATGGTATTGAACAATAAATCTATATTCTCTTCGACCAGTTGTATCAGTTCGTATTTGGGTGTGCCTGGCTGTTATTTGTAGTGGAAATGTATTGCAAGGATATCAGCAGGACCTTAACATGAAAATGAGTACAGAAATTGTACATGGTTTCAAAGATATGCACTGAGGGAGGGGAAGAAGAGCAATGAGAAAAGAACCCAACACGAAGGGAAAAATTGGAAAAAGTTCATATCCTCTTGATGCGGGAAATCTAGCCAGACTTAAGCGGAATCTCAGTACAGCATCGACGTAGAAGGCAACAGTCAACGACCAGGAAAATATTTTTCTACTCCGCCCTTCCTTCCTCCGCTTTCTTTTCCTAACCCTTAGCGAAAAAATAGAAACTACCCTAGAATTGAACATTTCATGGAGGACTTTTTCGTAGAGCACTTGTTACCCGGACTTTTGGTGAGTCAGTGAGCCAATGTGTTGCAACATGGTGCCACATACTTCCATGTCGTCTTCGCCGTCGTTGTTTGTCTTCCACCCAAAGACAAATATAAGAACTTGAGAATCAATAAAAACCAAATGTTACTGCAGCAAAACTGAAACAAAAAGCCGAACACCGAGCGAATAAAAACAATAATAAAAACCAAATGAAGAAACAACAACAAAAACAGCAGCAAAGCGAGCTAGCGAGGAGGAAAATATAACAAACAGCGTTGAAATATCTGGCTCCGGGAGCAGACAACCATTCAACACCCATAATAGCTGTAGACATTGGCAAATAAAAGTTGTGACAATTGTTTGTCCCACTTCCTCCTCTCCCAAAGATAATGATAAACGAATGTCGCAGCTATTTCGCAACGAAATCGAGAACATTTACAACAATGCCGGCCCAGCTGCAGCTGCTTCATCTTGGTCACAAAGAAACAGCGAATTGGTATAAGAAACAACAAGAACAACAACAAGACTGTGGCTATGAGATGATGTATACCGAATTTATGGCAGATCGAAGGATGACATCAACACCAAGGACCACATGAGTTATCTACACTTCAGCAGCAGCAAGAGCAAGGCTTAACCAAGAGTGTTGTGGAATCCCATAAATAACAACAACAACAACACCCGTGGCCACAAACAGCTGTAGCAACTTCCCCCTTTTTCTCTGCTCAACAGAAAACCAAAGAAACAGCGCCGAAAAAATAACCAAAATACCGCAATCCTTCCAAACTATTACCCAAAAACGTGGTTGTGGTCCCCTCCAGAAGACAAGCAGAGACTTGAAACCACGAAGCAGTAGCAGCATTATTTTTGTAGACTAGTTTTGTTTTTATTGCCTGGTAAATTTCTTCTTCACAATGACTTCCATGGAGGATACCAATTCAACAACATCCGGCAATCTTATCGACAACACATCATCATCGTCATCAGCCTCATTCTCACAGGATGACTATTTCCGGTTGTACGATGCCAGTCTGGATGATGGCGAGGATGATGCTGCTGATGGTGGCAATAGGTTAGGTAGCCTAATTGTGGGCATTTGGAATCCCGCCAATAATCAAAGCAATACAACGACAACTTCCCTACTGGATGGACTGGTGGACATCGATGATGAAGCTGCTGCTGCTGGCATAACAACCCTAATCTCTTCCAATTGGTCCAGTACATCAGCCTCAGCTCTACTCTCAGCACCTGCCACTCTATCATCTGCCTCATCGACCATGGCTTTAAATAATCCCCCACTAACGTCCAACACCACCAGCCTTGACTATGATAGTTTGATAGTCTCTTCACCAGCATCCTCAGCGGCAGCGGCAACTGCCAGCAGTACCTTTAGCACGTTATTCAGCTCACCTGCTTCGGAATATGGCAATAGTCAAAATGTGACGACAAATGCCACCAGCACTGGCATAGACTGGCTGGTTGGGGAATCATTTGATGGCTCAGTGCTCTATGAAGCCAATGACACCTCATTGAATGTGTTGCACTCAAATCTGGTGGCTCAACTGGCCTCCTCGCCAGCGGTGGTATTGGCTTCTCCCACAACGGTCAGTGACACTTCCGCCAACTCCGTGGCAACTGGCGCCTCTGAACTCAGTAATAATTATGGCGATGGTGATATAGCTTTGATCGATAGTGCGGAAACTTTGCTGGCCGGTGAGACTGATTATGACATTGTAAGTTTTAATGGTGGCGGCGGCGGTGGTGCCGCTGATGCCGGTGGCTATGAATTGGTTGATTTAATTAACCCATATAATGAGACAGCGGCCAGCAGTACCTCGGCCACGGCAACCTCAGCAACAACATCAACATCCACCTCAATTCTGCATCATATCATTGGAACAGCCAGTGGCCGGGTGAAAAGCGGCAGTGGTAGTAAATCACCCAGTAATGGTGTCGCCAGCAATGGCGTCGGCGGCAGTGGCAGCAGTAGCATTCTTCGAACCGATTCCGATAACGATGGGGGCAGCAGTTTTATGTTACTCCTTGAAAATTTCGGTGATTATTTTTACAACTACAATGGCACTATGGTTTCGGGCACAACAACAACACCCAGCACATCGTTAACCAACATTCCCAACAATTTTAGTAGCTATGAATATCGGCCGAACTGTAGCAGTTTTCTTGGCGGCAATTTAACCAATAATCTATCATCACTGTGTTACGAAGGTCCAACTGAAGGTGAGTAGTCAAAAATTGAAATAATATTTTATGAGTTATTTACATTGTTTGGATAGGTATCCCATGGGAGAGAAATGAAAAATTCTGTAATAGGATACAAATACAGACACATGGCATCGAAGTATGAATATTTTTTAATAACATTAATATTCGGTATAAAAAATTTTTAGAAAATTGTTAGTAAATCTAAAAAAGGTTTTTAAATATTTGTGAAATTTTCTCATTTACGTGTTCAGCGAACTCGTCTCTCAATAAGTCAAATGTTATGCCTGCTGTGTGGCATGCGGCACCTTCGTGATGAAACCACATGCCATGCTAGTCCAGATCATGCATTTTGGGCAAGCAAAAAAAAAAACGAGTAAAAAAGCTGTAAGTTCGGCCGGGTCGAACTTTGAATACCCTCCACCATTTGATAAAAATTTGGCAATTTTCAAAAAATAAAATCCGTTAAAAATTCTGTTAAAATCTTACAAATACCGAATGTAGCCGTATGATAGGATCTATAAGGCTACGTGGACCTGCATAGGCAACTTTTGTCAAAAGCTATTACAATATTCAAACGCGAAACTTCAAAAAAATCTGTCTATAATGTAGTTAAAATCATCAAAATTCCGAATTCAGTAAAAGCGTGGACCAGCACAGACAATTCTCTGGCATAGGCTGTAGTATCCATTACGAACCTCAAATACAATATGTGAAATAATTCCGGTAAATAATGTCGCTAAAATCATCAAAATACCGAATATCGGGTGTTCCGTTATATTGGGGCTTTACGAAGATGTGGATCCACACACACAATTTTCTGTCATAGGCTGTAGTATCCATTACGAACTTCAAATGCCAAATTTGAAACAATTCCGGTAAATAATGTCGCTAAAATCATCAAAATACCGAATATCGGGAGGTACCGTTATACGGGGGCTATGCGAAGACGTGAACCTATATGAACCATTTTCTGTTTTGTGCTGTTGTATCTATTACGAACTTCAAATACTAAATTTGAAATAGTTTCGGTAAATAATGTCTCTAAAATCATCAAAATACCCAATATCCGGAGGTACCGTTATATGGGGGCTATACGAAGACGTGGACATACATGGCCCATTTTCAATATCAAAAGTCCTGCGGTCATATAATATGCATTTGAGTAAAATTTTATTAACCTACTTCATTTCGTTCGGAAGCTAGAGTAATTTCCACAGAGGGACAGACGGATGGGCATTGCTAAATCGACATAGAATTTTATGCTGATCAAGAATATATATATACTTTGTGGGGTCAAATTTCTGGATTTTTACTCCACAGAGACCTCAATATTAAAAATTCATTCCAATCCCATTCCTTTACCCAATACTATATTTAGTACCATTTAGCACTTTTCGCACAATTATAGTACACATTTCCACTGTCACCTCTATGTCACAAAGCCAGATACCAAAAGAGATCTCAATATAAAATTTCGAGAATTAAGCTCTCTCCTTCACTCAATGTAGAATTTAGTACCATTTGGTACTTTACGTACAATTATAGTACACATTTCCAAGTCACCTTCTTCAGATTATATATAATATAAAATTTGAGATTTCAATCACTATCGGTTCACCCAACAGCGATTTATACCACTTTGCACTTTCGTGCAGTTAGGGCACATTTTTAAAACCGCCTCCATATCTTAATTTCAGATATCAACAAAGACCTCAGTATCAAATGTGGGGATTCCAGGCCTTTCCCTTCATATATAGTACATTTAGTACATTTCGTACCATTTTAATACATATTGCCTAAACCAACTCAACTCAACTACTGACAACTCAATATCAAATGTGAAAATTCCAGCCTTATTCATACATCGAAAACAAATCTAGTACCATTTTGTACTTTTCGCACAATTATGGAACGCATTTACAAACAACCGCCATATCCCTTCACCCAATACAAAATTTAGCACCATTTCGTACATTTCGTCACATTTCCGAAACCCCTACTTTCGCTCAACTACAGACACCAACAATGATATCAATATCAAATTTGAGGATTCCAGCCCTATTCCTACATCGAAAAGCAAATTTAGTACCATTTAGTACTTTTCATACAAATATGGGACGCATTACCAAACCACCGCCAAATCTGAAGTACAGATACCGTCAGTAATCTAAAATATCATATTTCATTATTTTATCCCTATCCCTCAACCCAATAACAAATATATGCAGCACCACTTAGTAATTTTCATTCAATGACAGGACACATTGCCGAAACCATCTACATATATCCTGGTTACACATGAACAGCAACCCCAATACCGAATTTCGGATTTCAACCACTATCTCTTAACTCATTGGAATTGTATCGAATTTAGTACCATTTGGTACTTTTCTTACACTTAGTACACATTTCCAAAACAACATCGTTATATCAAAGCCAATTTCAAGAACTGATGCTCATACCAAATTCCAGGGTTTTTCCAACATTCGTTCCTATAAGTCCCAGTGACACCAAGTCTATTACATTTTGGTATCTTTGATATATACGTATTGTTAGAATTTTGAAAAACCCTTTAGTTTGTCTAGTATCCGACACAACAAAAAATACTCTCACTCCAAACTCCAGATTTATAGCTCCTTTCCTTCCCCAAATACCAAAGTTAATACAATTTAGTACTTTTTGTACTTTTTAGTACGTATTTTCAAATTCCCCACCACGTGTTGACCAAACAGCACAACAGTTGATTCTAATTCTAAAATTTTGGACTTCCAACTCATTCCTTACCCAAATACTACATTCAGTAACATTTAGTACTTTTAGTACATATTTTTTGAAACCACCCCTAAATCTAAACCTACCACCAACAAGAACACTAAAACAAAATTTCAAAATTCCATATAAAGCCGTTCATACCTAAATGTTCAATACCACCTTCATATCAAACCTATTTTTCAAACTGGATTGAAGTTGTTTGCTATATCTGTTCACATTGTACCAAAGAGTACAATTCAAGAAGTTTACTAACATTTTTCAGCTTTTTCTACTTCAAAATTCGAACTTCGGAAATTGGTACATCTAAAATTCACTCCATCAGTGTCTCTCGTTTCACATTTCAAAATTCCAGTTTGTCATTCCGTTTGTCTAATACAAAATATTAAATTTTTACTACATTTTAGTACTTTTCGTAAATTTAGAAAGAATTTTCAAAAACCCAACCTTATCACATGCCTATGCACCAAGACTGACCCTCGTGCGAAGTTCTAGCTTCAGCCGTTGCGTAAGGGCGTTGATTCCCGGTCAGTCAGTCAGAGGAGATAAAAAAGCATGTCCACTTGTATCTTAGGTTAGCTTAACTCGTTTTCGGCATTTCGACGATTTCAGCCCAATTTTTCAACAAAGGTTTTGAAATTTAAATGAAAATTCATAGTACCAAATATTTCTAATAAAGACTTCTCTTTTGGCGTGTCGACCACATGGCGATAGAAGGCGGCTTTAGTTTTTTTGAGGGTTTAAGTAACATCTTTTTGGCGAATTGACTGCAATTGCTCAATATATACCCAGGAAGGCAGGAATGATCCCCAATTTTTGGAACTTTGAAGGTCTTAATTTAAAGTTCGTAATCAATTGAAAGCATATTTGACAAATGTTGCCACACCTTCTATTTAACGCTACACCCAAACATTAAAGGTTTTATAGACAATAGATTGGGACCTAAATTAGGTTTTTCTATGGCGAGGAAATATATCAGTTTTTTGATGTATATTTTATTAAAGAAGTCATTAAATTTAGATTTCTTTTTAGTCTTATATTATAATATTCATCCCACTTCTTGTATTCAATTGTTGTTAGATTTACAGGGCGTTTCTTTTACATAACAATGATTTGTATTTTCTCACTTTTTTTTGTTGCCTTGAAATTTATGACCCACAAATTTCATGTTGACAACCCAAATAATGTCGAACTATAAGATGATGACAAGACAAATATTATTCCCATTATTTTGTGTTGAGGTGTTATGTACGATAAACATGACACACACACAAACAGACACAACAACCAGCCACCTTTGACATGTGTACATCGTCACCTAGCCATAGAGAGAGAGAGATAGATGAGTGGGTGAAATTTGATTAATGAATGCAAGTCTAGGCTTTGTTAGGAACCTGTGAGAAAATTGTTAAGGTTTTTACTGAAAGGCTTTAAAGAGACAAGTTATGAGAATATTTATTATATATTTATGAAATAGGTGTTTTGTGTTAATAGCATTATTTATGATACAGACAGTAATCAGTTAATAAGGATTTATTTTAATACGTTCGTCTGCGGAGTGCTTATAAAATGGGATTAAAGTCACGCTGTAGGTTGAAACATTTAATCCATAATTAAATTCATTATTTTATTTTATTTGGCATGAATGCGGTAAATGGTGCGAAATATGTTCATTTCGTTTTGTGCTTATAGCGCTAGGACTTTATTTCTATACTCTCCACAATACTATGGTTTGTCATTCCGTTTGTAACACCTCAAAATATACATTTTAGATCCCACAAAGTATATATATTCTTGATCAGCATAAAATTCGATGTCGATTTAGCGATGTCCTTTCGTCTGTGGAAATCACTCTGGCTTCCGAACGAATTGAAGTAGATTGATAAAATTTTACTCAAATGTATATTTGACTGAAGGACTTTTGGTATTGAAAATGGTCCATGTAGGTCCATGTTTTGGTATAGCCCCCATATAAAGGTACCTCCCGATATTCGGTATTTTGATAATTTTAGCGACATTATTTACCGGGATTGTTTCAAATTTGGCATTTGAAGTTCGTAACGGATACTACAGCCTATGACAGAAAATTGTCTGTGATTGTAGACGTCTTATTTTTTATGATTTTAACGTCATTATTCACCGTATTTAGAGTTCGTAATGGGAACTACAGTCTGTGACAAAAAATTGTCTATGCAGGTCCAGGTCTTCTGATGCTTTAGGGCTTTTCTGTTCCCATATTTTCTTAGAAGGAATGAAACACAGATGGAAATCTTCTTGACAAATCATCAATACCCTGATTACCCCGAGTCCAATAGAAATCTTTCGGGAGTATGGTACAGAGCCTTTGTTCTCGCAATTGTTAAGGAATTTTTTCCGTCTGCCCATGTTAAATTTCAATCACGCTACAGGTTACAATTATGATGGGATACTCACAAAATTTAGCATGGATGTGGGGTTAAGGTCAGAAATGATGGACATGATTACATTGCGGTTGAAATGGACAAATAACAGAACAATTTCTTGGCCAGAAGTTTGACAATTTGGATGGTCATCGCATGTAAAGGGTGAGATAAAAAGTGCAACAAACGCCATAGTTCTTACATTTTTTTCTTTTTTTATTTTATTGAATGAAAGCAAAAAATGTCCGAAATAGCATCAAACTATGGCCTTCAAATGGCCAATGAAACCGTCACAAGCTGCCCGAATGTTGCTCTGTGGAATTTTGGTTCATTCCCGGCAAGGCCCTTTTTGGAGGTGATCGACACTTTGATATTTTTTAGTTCCAACCTTGATTTCCAAGATACTCCAGACACAATAGTCCAACGGTTTGGTATCCGGAGATTTTTGTGGCAATTGAGCGCTGGAAATAAAGCGAGGAACCTCATTTTGTAACCTTTCTTGGGTGCCGCGGTTCTGAGTGCGATGGTGCTGAGTCCTTTTGGAATGTCCAAGGTCTGCGGCCAAAAAGTTTGCGTGCCCAAGGCTTTAATACACCCTCCAGAATATTTTCGTCATAATATTCGGCATTTATTCTGTTGCCACAGTCGATTGATGCGAGCGCAGAGCGACCATCGACTGTTATGGCAGCCCACACCATCACCATGGCCGGCGCTTGAGTTCTGGTGGCCCACCGAAGGTGCAAATTTTCAGCTGACCTTATTGGCAAGTAAACACGATCATTTAGTTTGTTTACAAACTGCTGGACAACGAATGTTTTCTCATCGGAGAAAACCAAATTCAGCAGTTCACCACTTTCGGCCAAGCAAAGCAACTCTGTGGCTCTTTTGAGTCTATTTACTTTCTGTTGCGGTGTAAGTTCTTGCACTTCTTGGAATTTCAATGGCTTTACCCCGAGTTCATTTTTCAATATTTGTCGAATTGAATATTGCGATATGTTCAGCTTACGAGCCATTTTTCAGCCACTGCGACGTGGGTTTCGATCAAGTCGCTTCTTTACTTTTACTTTGAACCATTTCTGCTGATGTTGCTGTTTTCTTCCGTCCACTTCCTTGAGGTCGGGCTACGCCACCACTATCACGGTAACGAGCGATGGTATGAGACACAAAATATTTATTCACATTTCAATTCTGGAGTGCTCTAAGTATAGCCACTGGTTTTCCAGCCAAATATAAAGAAATCACACTATCACGCTTCAATTCCATCACGAATAACTTTTTTTTTTCTGGAAAATTCTCACCAAAATGCTTTTGTACGCTTGTAAACAATATAACGAGCTATCACTGGAATAATTTTAACAGCTGTCGGACGAGTGGCTTAGAAATGACAGCAGTCTGAAGTGGGTTGCAGTTTTTTCATTTCACTCTGTAGATATAACAGTATTTTAGAAAATCAAATAAAACATGACTCTTCAAAGCTGTTTGCAATTGAAAATGGACTATATCCGTCCACGTTTTGGGTATGTAGCGGTACCACCTGATTTTCGGTATTTTGAAGATTCCAACCAAATAAGCTGTATTTTAATAGTTCTGAATCTTGTGTGTGTTCGGAATCTTCTTTAAAAATGTGCATTGGAGATGCACTATTTGATCCGATTTGAAGGCTTGAGACTTATAACCAAATTAGTTGTAATGTCCGAAAATGTTCAGTATAGGTTAATTACTAAATATAACCCACAGATTAGGTTTCCTACGGGTATTCTGAATTTCGAATTGACTGTAATTTATAATTTTGTGTTCTCATTGGGTCAAATGTTGACACTATCCCCTAATGGCTGTACAAGTCGATTTCGTATATTTTGGTCTAGATCACAATTTTTATCGGAAGAGATGATTATTTATTTATTAAAGTCCCATGTTTTGAAACAGTTCCATATAATTTTGAGAGCCATAAACACGTTTTTCAACAAGTTTGTATTTTAAACTGTAAGGGAAATTAGCTATCCCGAAAAAAAATATTTGGAAATTAGACATCTCAAATAAATATTCCACTTTTTTGAAAATTTAATAAAATAACACTCCCATCTTCTCAAAGTTTTAGTAGTGCAACTTACCTTATCATTTAAATTATAATCAATAATAAATAGCACATTGACCTTCGTAAAATTAATTGTGATGTAAATAATAATATTTTTCTGGTGGTAATGAAATTTCCTCCATAAACAATGCATTGCTACAATTGCCTGACAATTTACTTCCAATGTAATAATGATAGTAAATAAGTTTTATTTATTTTATTTTACCCGTTTTTATTAATCGTTTCTAGACATGAAAATATTATTTTCACTTAATGTATTTTGTTGTTGAACTCAAGAGAGATAAATATCTGCGATAATAACTATTTTGAAAAATGTACAAAATTTAATGAATACTACTTACACAATTTCTCTCTCTTTTTCATTTTCTTCTCCTTTCGTTGCAGTTACCCGAAATTATTGGGCACTCATATTAATAGTTTTTCCAATTTTCACATTATTTGGCAATATATTAGTGATAATGTCTGTGTTTCGTGAACGTTCCTTACAAACGGTTACAAATTATTTCATCGTTTCACTGGCAATAGCGGATCTGTTGGTAGCTGTAGTTGTGATGCCATTCGCCGTCTACGCTCTGGTATGTAGTTGCTGTTGTTGTTATTGTACCATTTCAATACTCATGAAACCATTTTAAGAAAGAAAGAAAGAAGGAAAAAACACATCCTCACAACCAATATTGCTTTATGCTTCTCCCCCCGCCCCATAATTCTCCATGGGTTTTGCTTACAATTCATTCTTTGAAATCTTGTTGAACAAATATTGCCATCATTTTACTTTTATCTAAATGTATAGGTATGTCTTTATGTGCATCGAACAAATAGAAATTTATACAATATTCTTTATGCGCCATGTTGCAATGTTGGATCCAGGGTATGCAATTGCAACGGCTTTGCGGCATGAGAAAGGTACATTCATTTGGGTCCTTATTGAGGGTAATATATTTTGAAATTTTGTCTGAGTTGTTCATTGTTTTTTTTTTTTTTTTTTTAAATTGACTTCCAAATTAATGACCCCCGATTGTCCCCTCACATGGCTAAATCAATTGTCAGTTGGAAGAAAAATCCATTTTGTACCTCCTCTATTATATATATATTTCTTGGAATCAATGGAAAATAAATACCAAAGGAAATGTGATTTGTTACTTCGATTTTTTATCAGAATCTTTGAAAATTGCAAAAGGGAAATGAAAAGTTGTGAAACTATCATTCTTATTGCTCGGCGTTCTATCAATAGTAAAATGTTGACTTTTACATAAAGACAGTATCATCCAGACATTGAACGATGTTTTTTTGTTGGAATACCAATTTCAATTTCAAACAAAAATAAAAGATTAATATCCGTTTAAAGTTAATTCAATATTTCATTTTATTATTCTAAAGGTACAATATATGATTGTTGAAATCCATTCAATGCGGAGTTTTTAATAATTTTTTCTCAAGGACTAACTGACCAATAAACGTGGATTTTTTAAACATTTTTTCTCAAGAACCAAGAGACCAATCAACGTGGACTTTTTTACATTTTTTGCTCAAGGACCAACAGATAAATAAACGTGGATTTTTTAAACATTTTTTCTCAAGGACCAACAGACCAATAAACGTGGATTTTTTAAACATCTTTTCTCAGGGGCCCACAGACCAATAAACGTGGATTTTTTAAACATTTTTTCTCAAGGACCCACAAACCAATAAACGTGGATTTTTTAAACATTTTTTCTCAAGGACCAACAGACCAATATACGTGGATTTTTTAAACATTTTTTCTCAAGGACCAACAGACCAATAAACGTGGATTTTTTAAACAGTTTTGCTCAAGGACCCACAGACCAATAAATGTGGATTTTTTAAACATTTTTCTCAAAGACTCACAGACCAATAAACGTGGATTTTTTAAATGTTTTTCAAGGACCAACTTGGATTTGTTAAATATTTTTTTCAAGGACCAACGTGGATTTGTTAAATACTTCTTTTAAAGACTAACGTGGATTTGTTAAATATTTTTTTAAATGATCCACGTGGATTCGTTAAATATATTTTTCAAGGACCAACATGGATTTGTTAAATATTTTGTTAAATGATCCACGTGGATTCGTTAAATATATTTTTCAAGGACCAACATGGATTTGTTAAATATATTTTTCAAGGACCAACATGGATTTGTTAAATATTTGTTTCAAGGACCAACGTGGATTTTTTAAACATTTTTTTTTCAAGGACCAACAGACCTATAAATGTGAATTTTTTTAATATTTTTTCTCAAGGACCCACAGAACAATAAATGTGGATTTTTTAATTCAATGTGGATTTGTTAAATATTTTTTTCAAGGATCAACGTGGATTTGTTAAATAGTTTTTTCAAGGACTGAAATGGATTTGTTAAATATTTGTTTCAAGGACCAACATGGATATGTTAAATATTTTTTTCAAGGACCAACAGACCAATAAACGTGGATTTTTTAAACATTTTTTCTCAAGGACCAACAGACCAATAAACGTGGATTTTTTAAACATTTTTTCTCAAGGACCAACAGACCAATATACGTGGATTTTTAAAATTTTTTTTCTCAAGGACCAACATACCAATAAACGTGGATTTTTTAAACATTTTTTTCTCAAGGACCAACAGACCAATAAACGTGATTTTTTTTAAAAAATTTTTCTCAAGGACCAAAAGACCAATAAACGTGGATTTTTTAAACATTTTATTCTCAAGGACCAACAAATAGACCAAAAAAACTGGATTTTTTAAACATTTTTTTCTCAAGGACCAACAGAACAATAAACTTGGATTTTTTAAACATTTTATTCTCAAGGACCAACAAATAGACCAAAAAAACTGGATTTTTTAAGCATTTTTTTCTCAAGGACCAACAGAACAATAAACTTGGATTTTTTAAACATTTTTTCTCAAGGATCAACAGACCAATACACGTGGATTTTTTAAACATTTTTTCTCAAGGATCAACAGACCAATAAACCTGGATTTTTTAAACATTTTTTCTCAAGGATCAACAGACCAATAAACGTGGATTTTTTAAACATTTTTTCTCAAGGATCAACAGACCAATAAACGTGGATTTTTTAAACATTTTTTCTCAAGGACCAACAGACCAATATACGTGGATTTTTTAAACATTTTTTTCTCAAGGACCAACAGACCAATAAACATGGATTTTTTAAATATTTTTTTCTCAAGGACCAACAGACCAATAAACGTGGATTTTTTAAACATTTTTTTCTCAAGGACCAACAGACCAATAAACGTGGATTTTTTAAACATTTTTTCTCAAGGATCAACAGACCAATACACGTGGATTTTTTAAACATTTTTTCTCAAGGATCAACAGACCAATAAACGTGGATTTTTTAAACATTTTTTCTCAAGGACCAACAGACCAATAAACGTGGATTTTTTAAAATTTTTTTTCTCAAGGACCAACAGACCAATAAACGTGGATTTTTTAAACATTTTTTTCTCAAGGACCAACAGACAAATAAACGAGAATTTTTTAAAATTTTTTTCTCAAGGACCAACATACCAATAAACGTGGATTTTTTAAACATTTTTTTCTCAAGGACCAACAGACAAATAAACGAGGATTTTTTAAACATTTTTCTCTCAAGGACCAACAGAACAATAAACGTGGATTTTTTAAATATTTTTTCTCAAGGACAAACAGACCAATAAACGTGGATTTTTTAAATATTTTTTCTCAAGGACAAACAGACCAATAAACGTGGATTTTTTTAAACATTTTTTCTCAAGGACCAACAGGCCAATAAACGTGGATTTTTTTAAACATTTTTTCCCAAGGACCAACAGAGCAATAAACGTGGATTTTTTTAATTTGTTTTTTCTCAAGGACCTACAGACCAATAAACATGGACTTTCTAAAGATTTTTTCTCAAGGACCAACAGACAAAAAAAAAGAGGATTGTTTAAACATTTTTTCCCAAGGACCAACAGACCAATAAATGTGGATTTTTTGAACATTTTTTCTCAAGGACCAACAGACCAATACACGTGGATTTTTTAAACATTTTTTCTCAAGGACCAATAAACGTAGATTTTTTAAACATTTTTTCTCAAGGACCAATAGACCAATAAACGTAGATTTTTTCTCAAGGAGCAACAGACCAATAAACGTGGATTTTTTAAACATTTTTTCTCAAGGAGCAACAGACCAATAAACGTGGATTTTTTAAACATTTTTTCTCAAGGAGCAACAGACCAATAAACGTGGATTTTTTAAACATTTTTTCTCAAGGACCAACAGACCAATAAACGTGGATTTTTTAAACATTTTTTCTCAAGGACCAATAGACCAATAAACGTAGATTTTTTCTCAAGGAGCAACAGACCAATAAACGTTCTATCAATAGTAAAATGTTGACTTTTACATAAAGACAGTATCATCTAGACATTGAACGATGTTTTTTTTTTTGGAATACCAATTTCAATTTCAAAGAAAAATAAAAGATTAATATCCGTTTAAAATTAATTCAATATTTCATTTCATTATTCTAATCGTACAATATATGATTATTTAAATCAAATAATCATGGATTTTTAAACATTTGTTCTCAAGGACCGACACACCTACAAATGGGAATTTGTTTAAACCTTCAGGTCAAAAGTTGTATTTAAACATTTTTTCTCAAGAACCAACAGAGCAATAAACGTAGATTTTCTAAACATTTTTTCTCAACGATCCACAGACCAATAAATGCGGATTTATTAAACATTTTTTCTCAAGGACCAATAAACGTGGATTTTTTAAACATTTTTTCTCAAGGACCAACAGACCAATATACGTGGATTTTTTAAACATTTTTTCTCAAGGACCAACAGACCAATAAACGTGGATTTTTTAAACAGTTTTGCTCAAGGACCCACAGACCAATAAATGTGGATTTTTTAAACATTTTTCTCAAAGACTCACAGACCAATAAACGTGGATTTTTTAAATGTTTTTCAAGGACCAACTTGGATTTGTTAAATATTTTTTTCAAGGACAAACGTGGATTTGTTAAATACTTCTTTTAAAGACTAACGTGGATTTGTTAAATATTTTTTTAAATGATCCACGTGGATTCGTTAAATATATTTTTCAAGGACCAACATGGATTTGTTAAATATTTTGTTAAATGATCCACGTGGATTCGTTAAATATATTTTTCAAGGACCAACATGGATTTGTTAAATATATTTTTCAAGGACCAACATGGATTTGTTAAATATTTGTTTCAAGGACCAACGTGGATTTTTTAAACATTTTTTTTCAAGGACCAACAGACCTATAAATGTGATTTTTTTTAATATTTTTTCTCAAGGACCCACAGAACAATAAATGTGGATTTTTTAATTCAATGTGGATTTGTTAAATATTTTTTTCAAGGATCAACGTGGATTTGTTAAATAGTTTTTTCAAGGACTAAAATGGATTTGTTAAATATTTGTTTCAAGGACCAACATGGATATGTTAAATATTTTTTTCAAGGACCAACAGACCAATAAACGTGGATTTTTTAAACATTTTTTCTCAAGGACCAACAGACCAATAAACGTGGATTTTTT